TTAAGACTTGAGATGCCATCATGGACCTTCTGTATGCGGAGCAACTGCTCTGCCCAATAGCCAGTGGTGGTGTTGCATAGTGGTTAGTTTCAGACTACGATCTGGGAGAGATGAGGGTTCAAATTCCGCCGGGAAGCTCACTGGGCGTGACCTGGGAGGCCAGAGACTCAGCCTAGCCCACCTCACAGGGTTGGTGTGAGGAGGAAATTGGGGTGTGTGGGGAACTTAGCATGCCATCTTGAGCTCCTTGGAGATAGAAATGGAATAAATAAAAATAAATGCAATAAAAATAAATTAATTCGGGGGCAGAGGGAGCTGCCTTGCACTGAGTCAGAACACAGGCCCACCTCCTTCAGTGCTGTCTGCACAGACTGGCAGCAGCGGCTCTGTGGGTCTCGGACATGGGCCCTTCCTGATCCTCACTTGGCGATGCTGGGGGTTGAACCTGAGACCTTCTGGAGGGAGCAGTGGCAAGTGGCCACATTCGCCCGGTGCACTTAAAGCACTAAGGCACCGATTTAAACTGTCATGGCTTCCCCCAAAGGATTCTGGGAGCTGTGGCTTGTTCTCAGAGAACACTATGGTGCCCCTTTGAACAGTCATGGCTTTCCCCCAAAGGATTCTGGGAGCTGGGGCTTGTTATGGGTGCTGAGATTTCTGAGGAAACCCCTATTCCCCTCACAGAAAGCACTATATAGTGCTGTTTTTCTAGAAAAGAAAGAGGCGCTGGAACTCGCCAAGAACACCTCCCTTGTTCTCTCAAGGATGGCAATGGCGCCTACATGAGAGGTGCCAGAACTGATTTCCGGCAGGTTCCGTGTGAAAAAGAAGCCCTGGATACATCTATGCAGTCATGGCTTCCCCCAAAGGATTCTGGGAGCTGTGGCTTGTTCAGAGCATAGCTGTCAACTTTTCCCTTTTCTTGCGCGGAATCCCATTCAGAATAAGGGAATTTCCCTTAAAAAAGCGAAACGTTGACAGCTATGGTTCAGAGTGCTGAGATTTCTGTGGAGACCCCTTTATTCCCCTCACAGAGAACACTATGGTGCCCCTTTGAACAGTCATGGCTTCCCCCAAAGGATTCTGGGAGCTGTGGCTTTTTACAGGCACTGAGATTTCTGAGGAGACCCCTATTCCCCTCACAGAGAACACTATGGTGCCCCTTTGAACAGTCATGGCTTCCCCTAAAGGAAGAGACTCCTAGTCCCATCACAGAGCTCACTGTGATACCACTTTCAATGGTCATGGCGTCCCACAAAGTATTCTGGGAGCTGTACTTTGTTAAAGATGCTGAACGTTGTGAGGAGACCCGCTATTTCCCTCACAAAAGCGTACTACAGTATACCACTTTAAACAGTCATGGCTTCCCCCAAAGGATTCTGGGAGCTGAAGTTTGTGAAGGGAGCCGAGAGTTGTGAGGAGACCCCCTTCTTCCCCTCACAGAGCACACTATAATGCTAGTTTGAACAGTCATGGCTTCCCCCAAAGGATTCTGGGAGCTGTGGCTTGTTACGGGTACTGAGATTTCTGAGGAGACCCCTTTATTCCCCTCACACAAAGCACTATATAGTGCTGTTTTTCTAGTAAAAAAGAGGCGCTGGAACTCGCCAAGAACACCTCCCTTGTTCTCTCAAGGATGGCAATGGCGCCTACATGAGAGGGGCCAGAACTGATTTCTGGCAAGTTCCGTGTGAAAAAGAAGCCCTGGATATATCTATGCAGTCATGGCTTCCCTCAAAGGATTCTGGGAGCTGTGTATTGTTCACAGTGCTGAGATTTCTGAGGAGATCCCTATTCCCCTCACAGAGAGCACTATGGTGCCCCTTTGAACAGTCATGGCATCCCCCAAAGGATTCTGGGAGCTGTACTTTGTTAAAGATGCTGAATGTTGTGAGGAGACCCGCTATTTCCCTCACAAAAGCGTACTACAGTATACCACTTTAGACAGTCATGGCTTCCCCCAAAGGATTCTGGGAGCTGTAGCTTGTGAAGGGAGCCGAGAGTTGTGAGGAGACCCCCTTCTTCCCCTCACAGAGCACACTATCATACTAGTTTGAACAGTCATGGCTTCCCCCAAAGGATTCTGGGAGCTGTGGCTTGTTCAGAGCATAGCTGTCAACTTTTCCCTTTTCTTGCAAGGAATCCTATTCGGAATAAGGGAATTTCCCTTAAAAAAAAGCGAAACGTTGACAGCTATGGTTCAGAGTGCTGAGATTTCTGAGGAGAGACCCCTTTATTCCCCTCACAGAAAGCACTATGGTGCCCCTTTGAACAACCATGGCTTCCCCCAAAGGATTCTGGGAGCGCTGCTTCATTAAGGGTGCTGAGGGCTGAGACCCCCTATTATTCCCCTCGCAGAACTACAATTCCCTGGGGGGGACAGATTGGTGGTTAAACTGCTCTGTTGGGAGCTTCGGCTGGGGAGGGATATAAATAAAAAAAAATTATTATTATTTTTTATTATTATCAGGGAGCTGTCCTCCACAACTCGACGGCTACCCCTCCACCGTCTCACTTTTCCCCTTTTCCACCGAAACAGGTCCGGAAGTATCTGCTCCTCCTCGACATACGGAAGGACCACGTCAAATTCTGGCGGCCCCAAATCCTCCTTATGGTGGCCAACCCCCGGGGCAGCTCCCAGCTCATGAAGTTTATCAACCACCTCAAGAAAGGGGGCCTCTTTGTCCTGGGGCACGTGGAGATCGGGGACCTTGGTAAGAGGGACACCCGGAGGGCAGACGCCCAGACCGCTCCCCAAACCAACGGCAAGGAAAAGCTGGTCCTACGCTTGCTCAGCGCTGCGGTTCTGTGAATCCGGCCCCCAGTTGCCCTACAGGCAGAGAGCCTCAGTGAAGGACCTGTGACACGCTAGGCATTGTAGATTTATAATAATAATATTAAAAAACACAATGAAACATCAGACACTAAAAAATTCCCTAAACGGGGCTGCCTTCAGATGTCTTCTAAAAGTCAGGTAGCTGTTTATTTCCTTGAAATCTGATGAGAGGGCAGGTGCCACCACCGAGAAGGCCCTCCGCCTGGTTCCCTGCAACCTCGCTTCTCTCAGGGAGGGAACCGCCAGAAGGCCCTCGGAGCTGGACCTCAGTGTCCGGGCTGAACAATGGGGTTGGAGATGCTCCTTCAGGTCTACTGGGCTGAGGCTGTTTAAGGCTTTAAAGTTCAGCACCAATGCTTTGAATTGTGCTCGGAAACGTCCTGGGAGCCAATGTAGGTTTTTCAGGACTGGTGTTATGTGGTCTCCCAGTCACCAGTCTAGCGGCCGCATTCTGGATTAGTTGTAGTTTCCAGGTCACATTCAAAGGTAGCCCCACGTAGAGCGCATGGCAGTAGTCCAAGTTGGAGATAACCAGAGCATGCACCACTCTGGCGGACAGTGTGCAGGCAGGGAGGGTCTCATCCTGTGCACCAGATGGAGCTGGTAGACAGCTGCCCTGGACCCAGAACTGACCTGCGCCTCCATGGACAACGATGAGTCCAAAATGACTCCCAGGCTGCGCACCTGGTCCTTCAGGGGCACAGTTGCCCCATTCAGGACCAGGGAGTCCTCCACACCCGCCCGCCCCCTTTCCCCCCAAAACAGTACTCTGCCTGGTTCCCTGAAACCTCACTTCTCGCAGGGAGGGAACTGCCAGAAGGCCCTCGGAACTGGACCTCAGTGTTCGGGCAGAACGATGGGGGTGGAGATGCTCCTTCAGATCTACTGGGCCTTTGAGGCCGTTTAGGGCTTTCAAGGTCAGCTCCCAGAAACGTCCTGGGAGCCAAAGAAGTTCTCTCAGGACCGGTGTTATGCGGTCCCAGCAGCCACCCCCAGTCACCAGTCTAGCTGCCGCATTCTGGATTAATTGCAGTTTCTGGGTCACCTTCAAAGGTAGCCCCACGTGGAGCACATGGCAGTAGTCCAAGCGGGAGATAACCAGAGCATGCACCACTCTGGGGAGACAGTCTGCGGGCAGGGAGGGTCTCATCCTGCGTACCAGATGGAGCTGGTAGACAGCTGCCCTGGACACAGAACTGACCTGTGCCTCCATGGACAGCGGTGAGTCCAAAACGACTCCCAGGCTGCGCACCTGGTCCTTCAGGGGCCTTGCTGCCTCTAACTGGCTCCATTCTCTTCTCTTCCGTCTCCCTCCTGTTGATAACTTACTGCCTGCCTTTTGTGGTTTTCCCTCTGCAGACACGATGCCCTCCGACCCCATCCAAGCCCACTACAATTTCTGGCTGAGCCTAGTGGACAAGCTGAGCATCAAGGCATTCGTGGACCTCACCCTCTCGCCTTCGGTCCGCCAAGGGACACAGCACCTCCTCCGGATCACCGGCTTGGGTGAGGAAGGGAGGGGCAGAGAGAGAGAGAGAGAGAGAGAGAGAGAAGCCCCAGGATGACCTGGGTCTCTAGTCCACTCACCTGCAAATAATAATAATAATAATAATAATAATAATAATAATAATAATAATAATAATATCCCGCCCATCTGGCTGGGTTTCCCCAGACAGTCTGGATGACTTCCAACAGAACACTAAAATCAGAATAAAACATCAAACATTAAAAACTTCCCTAAACAGGGCTGCCTTCAGATGTCTTCTAAAAGTCAGGTAGCTTTTTATTTCCTGGACATCTGATGAGAGGGCGGGTGCCACCACCGAGAAGGCCCTCTGCCTGGTTCCCTGCAACCTCGCTTCTCACAGGGAGGAAACCACCAGAAGGCCCACGGAGCTGGACCTCAGTGTCTGGGCTGGATGATGGGGGGTGGAGACACTCCTTCAGGAATACTGAATAATTAAGAATAATTAAATAATTAAATACAATATACTCCCACAGAGACTACCTTACATTGCGTTTAAAACCAAAATCGCCTTTGGGTAGAAACTGTTTCTCAGGCAGCTAGTCCTAGTCTTAATAACCCTGGACCTTCTTCCAGAAGGCAGAAGCTGAAAGAGATCATTTCCGGGGTGCGCACTATCCTGCGCTATCTCTGCAGCTTTCTTAAGGCACCTGGAAGCATAGATTTGATCCAGGGTGGGAAGAGCGCACCCAATTATTCTCTCCTCAGTCTTTACAACCCTGGACAGCATTGGCTTTTCCCCTGACCGTGCCGCTCCCAAACCACACACACAGACCATAAGTTAATACACTCTCCACAGTACAGTGGTAAAATGCCACCAACAGGTCCTTTGAGAGATTGTTTTTCCGGTGGATTCTCAGAAAATATAACCTCTGCTCTGCTCCATCTTTCCCCCCTCCATCTTTGAACCTGGCGAGGTGTCTTGTCTCCCAAGCCCACCAAACTGACCTCAACTTTGCTTGCGTGTGTGTGCCTTTTCCTTCGCAGGAGGGATGAAACCCAACACTTTGGTCCTCGGCTTCTACGACGACTGCGTCCCGGAGGATTACTTCCTGCAAGACCCGGCCTTCAGCCAAGCGCGGGAGAACGACGAGTTCGGCGTGGACCTGCCGGCCCTCCAGGCCCACTTCCCACCGGTGAGGGAGGCGGA